GTAATGATCCATGTTGGGATGTATACAAAGATGTATGTCTTTTGAAAAGGTTTTCATTTGTTTTTGAAAGTTTGTTTTGAAAGTGTTGTGAAGTGTGGTTTTAGAAAATAGGCAAGTGTTTTGTTTTTCGCAAGCTTGATTCAAGTAACTAAGAGGTTATCTACTCCTAAATTTCTCAAAGATTATTGCTATGTTTTAACCCTTTAACAAGTTCGTTCCACCATTGTATTTGGTGGATAATCTCATGTTAGGATGTGAAAGGGACGGGCGCGGGTCATCGTTTAGACCATAATTGCAATGGTGTCAAGTATCTTTGGGCAATTTTCTTTAAGGGACTTGATCATTTGTTTAGGCAACTTTTTGAAAACGTCATCGAGGGACTATGATCATTGATTTGTGTTTGTTTTGCCCAAAAAGACCTAACATGCAATATGGCCCATTTATCGAAGGCAACAAGTGGAATACCCTAAGGGGGTGCAAGTGTGATTTGTGTTGTCCATTTTCATGCTTGTTTATCTTGAAATTAGGTCAAACTATTTTTGTTGTTTTTGATTCACATACAAACCCTAATTCTAACATGGTATAATTAGAAAGCAATAAAGTGCGAAAAATAAATTTACTAGGCTATTACAACACCATATATGGGAAGGGGGGTACAAATGTTCAAATGGGGATTTTGATAAGGAATTTAAACCTAAACTATTACATCAATATTGAATTATTTACAAGATAATTTAATTGCACAAATTAAATAAAATAAGAACAAATACGCAAGATGCAAAAATGGTTTTTGTATATATGCAAAAAAAATTATATTTATATGTCAAAATAAACAAAAATAAAAGTATTATTTTTTTTGGAGTTTTTCATGTTTAGGGCAAAACCCTAATTTCTTTAATAAAATGTATTAATTATTTGATATGTATAATATTTTTTATTATATACAAAAATAAAATAAAAATGAAGTATATTTGTCAAAAAGGCATTTTTTATATTAAATATTAATAAAAATAAAAAGTGTGTATATTTTGTATTTTACCCCTAAATATTCTAATAAATAAAAAAATATATATATATATATATATATATATATATATATATATATATATATATATATATATATATATATATATATATATATATATATATATATATATATATATATATATATATATATATATATATATATATATATATATATATATATATATATATATATATATATATATATATATATATATATATATATATATATATATATATATATATATATATATATATATATATATATATATATATATGTATTATTTACTAAATATGTATTATATATACAAAATAATTATATTTAATATTTATAAAAAATGTATTTTTTTAAATAAAATATTTTCAGAAGATAAAATGGAGTAAAATGAAAATAAAAATGCATTTGCACTATTTTAACATTTTTTTAAAATAAAAGTATATCTATTTATTTATTTATGTTCAAAAAGCTAATCTAAACAAATAAATACCTAATAAATAGGAAAATGGTGAGAAAAATATTTTTTATATTTTTAATATCATAAGAAAAAATAAATAAGTCAAACCAAAAAAGAAAAAGTCAAAAAATCATTAAAATAACCAAAATGGGCTCAGGGGTGTAAAAGCAATAAAAGGGTGCAAAAAGAAAAAGTCAAACAGGCCCAGCCCAGAACCAGGTCATCTTCAACCTCAGAACATCTTTTGTTCAAGCAAACACGCGTTTCCTATCTCCCAATTCTTGGACTTTTAAGCAAAACTTTCAACATGAAAAATGTAGAGCATGAGAAGACGAATCCAGGGATATAAAGAACTTAACTTAACTCTCTAAGATGAGGGAGAATTTCTTCTCCCCCAATTCCTGACCTAGTTTTTCATCAATGTTCAGACTCAAAATTCTCTAAGCATACATAATATAAATGAAATCTAATCATATGGGCATGTTCAGGGCTATGATTGTGGCATGTTTCCTTCACAAACCTAAAACTAACAATACCTATATTGAGAGATAGAACTTCATGAATATACCTGTTCAGTTGGAATCGTGCCTTGCAATGGAGGAGCTTTCAGGGCAAGATGAGGATTTGTACAACTTCCTTGAAGTGTGAGGATGCTATTCCAAGTTTTACTTTGTCTTGAAACCTTCTGAATCGTGCTAGAGAACTTCAACTGCAAAACAAGAAAATGAAAATGGTGAAGTGGCCTGGGAGTGTTACAGGTCGTGTTCTAGCTTTTGGTTAGCTTCAAGGGATGTTAGGGAATGTGTTTGACAAGTTTTTAGTAAGAAAGCATGGAAGGTTTGAGCTATGAAACTCAAACTGCAGGGATGCCATGTTTTGAGCAGTTTGAAGGTGATTCTGGGAATGGGGAGGTATTGAGTATCTTAGGTTCGTGCTTCAGCTTAGGATGAATGTTTGGAATGTGTTTTATAACTTTCTCTAAGCCTTTGTTAACTGATATGGAAGTTGGTACATGTTATGATGTGTTTCTTAAACTTTAAGCAAGCAATGGCCACTTTGTGTTCTAGACAGGTAGAGGCCCCCTAAACATGCTGCAAAACCTTGTCTTGATCAGAGTGATTAACTCATAAACTTTTGCCAATTAGATTTCCTTTGTACCTTCTTGATTTGCTTTAGACATAAAGTGTAACTTTTGCAAAAATGGATATAATGCTTTTTCCAATTTGGGATTAATCCTTTAGGCAATGCTTGAACACATAGAACATGGTCTTGGCACAAGGGATTGGCATTAAATTTATGAGTGTAATTGAGATAAAAGACCTGTAATCAAGTTGTGCAAGCTGAGATTGAAATGCATAGTGTTATGAACATGTAACTTGGCCAATTCAAAAGTGAGTTTTTCCCATATTGCAAAATTCGATTCTCTCTAACCATGAGGTTGTTTGATGAGTTCTTGGACATTTTCGAAAGCTTGGAATGTGTAATACAATCCATCTTTGAAGTGAAAATTGAAATTCCAAGTGGAAGTGTATGGAAAATGGTCTTGAAGTTAGGTAAAAAACTTGCCTAAAATAGGTCAAATTTTCACTAAGTTAAGAATGGTTTGGCACCCTTGTTCCAAAAATTGTAACTTGAGATACAAGCTTATTTTGGGAAAACTTTGTGAATCAAAGTTGTAGATTATGCAATAGGCTACAAATTTCATGTTTTGACTTTTGCTTGAATCCAAATGAATCTTGGTGAGAAAGTGGGGCAAAGTTGGGAAAAAATTAGGGTTTTTCATAACTTAGAAAAATTCTAAGTTATGAAAAATTCTCATTTCAAACCCTAATTTGCATTTCTTGATTTCTTGAGGGACAAGTTTCATGATTTGGCATGTTTTAATGAAAAATGAATCTTGACACTTGATTTTGACCAAAAAGTCAAAGTTTGACTTTTCAGTATACAGTCAAAATTCATCAATTGACTGGGAAATTCAACTGTCAATCTTGTGTATTTGGGATCTTTTGAACTTGTTGAGCATGTCAAGATAATTCCATGGGGTCCTTGAGTCCATATGTGAGCTTGGTTTGCCATTGGCTAAGTCAAACAATCAAAAATTGCCTTTGTGCAGTCAAAACCCTAAAAATGACCATTTTGCCCTTTTGATGATCTGATCAAATTTCTTGTGGAATTGTGATCCAAACTTGATCAAATTGTCCATGTGAGTTCATAATGTTGATGTGAGTCAATTTTCATGAGATTTGACTGTCAATTGGCCACAGTTGACTTTTTCCCCAATACAGTTGATTTCTAGGTCAACTGTCCAATTGACTGGGCAAAAATTGGAATCAAGACTTGAAACTTGGCATGGATAAACTTGGGAGTCCAACATGAAGCATGAAAGTCATCTTAGGCATTTTAGGTCAAAATATCTTTGTGCAATCACAAACCCTAATTTGGGTCAACAGTGCAAGGAGAAGTCTTGAGCAGAGGAAACCCTAACTGGATCTTGATCTTCAAGGGTCTTGTGATGAGAAAATGTTGAGGAAATGGGAGGGAAAATTTTGGGGTACAACACCTGGCTAGATACAGGTATCGAATCTGGAAATTGTCGTCTACAGATATGCCTTGGCTGGATGCAGGTATCGAATCTGGAATTGTCGTCTACAGATATGCCCTGGCTGGATGCAGGTATCGAATCTGGAATTGTCGTCTACAGAT